TGTGCTGTTCACTTTTTATGAGTCTGGTAAGGAATGTTTATTATTCGGTAAAGGTTAAATTGGTTCTGGTACATTCACCGAATTAGTTCTGTTACATACCCAGATTTCAAGTCAGTTATCCTCAAACAGTTTGTAGCATCCAGTCCCACTTTTCCATTCCGTACCACGCTAGATATGAATGGGGAGAGCATTGGAGAAATTCGGTTCAAGGCCACTTCTGGGGACATTTTAACTTGATTTGTAAATCACCGCTGAAAGGAGAAGGAAAGAAAGGTGATCAGAGTTTACAAAGGAACTAGATACAACAAGCTTCCTGAAAATTGGCACAGCAAACAACAGTTTGTCTTTCATGAATAAAATACCTCATTTCCCATCTTCAGAGCAACTGCTTCCAAAGATCCCCCAGAAGAAACCACCTCCCTGTTGCTCTGCTACTCAGGACATGGACTACACCACTGCTTTTCAGGAACAGAAGGAACTCTTGAAATACAATTCCCTCCTCCTTCCCAAAGCTGATTTCTACACTGCCACACTCTACTTAAAGCTGTCCTACTCTATCTTACAACTGGCTTGTTTTACTTTAGTTGAGGCCAAGGAGCCTTTGCTAACAACCCTCTCCCCACCACCAAGACAAAAAACACACACACCACTGGGTTAAGAATCTCTCCCTCTGTGTCCCCACAAAGAGTAAGAACTTGAGTGATAATGCCATATAAAACTCTAGAACAAGCATAGCTTGCTTGCAGTTGTTATTTACTAGAAATTATTTATTGCTGATATACCTCTCTTAATAACTGGCCCTCCACAGCGTATTATAACTACCTGCTTACATGATCTCCCCTTAGTAAGGACCATGTCTTTAATACCTAGGGTTTAACAAAAGTAGCTGGCACACAGTAAGCACTCAAAAACCATTTTTTAATAAATAAATGAATAAGAGGACAAGAACTAGAGTAATATTTTGGTATGGAGAAGACAATATGCCCTCAAAAAATTTGGCAGGGGAATAGATGAGCAAAATCTGAGGAATAAACATAGCAAAAATCTACTTCGACAATTAAATCATGAAAACATACACCTATCCAGACACTAAGCAACACAGACTAAGATGGATCCTAAAGTCTTTGACTTTAAGGCACTAAGAAGTTACAATTGAAAATACAAAAGTAGAACTAATAAATCATATCTGAATTACTTGGAAACTTATGGGGCTGGGGGAGGGAGTACATTAATTCCTCTTAATAGATTTCTAAATGAAAGCCTCTAGTTTCAGATGTAAGTCAACTGAAATCATCATTTTCTTTCTCAATCTTAAAGGATTCTCAATCCCACGTCAAAAGCAAATTAATTTCCAGCAAGTTACAAGTAAATGATGTTCTGATTCTAGTTTTCATACATTGTACCACATGAGAACTTAAAATTCCTTGCTAAAATAAATGTTGAAAAGTAGCACCTGTTTTAATTTATTATTTCAGTTGGTAAGAAAGGGAAAGACTGCAGTGATCTTAAAAAAAAATAATGCTGTGACCCTATATAATGATGATACCAGAAGCACCTTTAAGATGATGAAATCTTTATACTTCAATTCCCAAATCATCCTTTCTGCAAATATAAAACAAGAACCTCTTCTGACCACTTAACAGATGATCTCCCCCACTACTCTGTCATTACAAAGTAAAAATAAACCTCTAACACACAGTACCACCAATCATAAAAATCATGTACATTTTTGTAACACTTTGTCACTAACAAGGAGCTTCCTGTACATTATTACAGCTAATCTTCACAAGCCAGGATAGCAAGGAAAGTATTTTAATTCCCATTTTCAGATATGGATAACTACTATAATTTGACTTTGAACAGTATACTAATCTGTATGATCAGAAACCTATTTTTTTTTCTTTTCTACAACATTTCCACCTTTATTTCTATCCACTGATGTCACGGTTATTGAAGGGATGCTTATCTAGATCATATGCAAAACACAAAAATACTCATCTTGGAAAAAAACAAAAGGGTCTCACCTACGTTACAAAATTATTATTCTGTGTTTTTTTCCCCACAGTGCTATTATTTTTCCTCTCATTTCTACAACAAAGGGAAACAGAACCAGCACATTCTAAACATCTACTACTAGGCATTGTATTACTAATCTCTATCTGTAATTTCATTTACTTCCCCCCAATTGTTCTCTGAGAACAGTAATTGTTCCCATTTTATGGATGAGAAAACTAAAGCTCAGCAAAACAAAGTCACTTGTTCAAAGTCATAAACCTAACAAACAAAAGGATCAGAATTCAAATTGAGATCTTTCCCAAAAATCTACTACACCCATCTTCATCTCAAATAAACATTGATAAATTCAATCACTAAAGAGAAAAGCATCAAGATGATTTTTTTAAAGCATATATCTTGTAAAATTTGAACAGACAAGAAGTCATGAGTTTAAAGGAATAATTGCTTTGCAATTAGAAACATCTAGACTACTGCTGGCCTACTGCAGAAGCTGGCCTGAGTGATTCCCTGGTCAAATGCTAAAGAGAGCAAACCTGTTCCAGAAGCCAAACCATACTAGCGGTGACAACGACCCATTCCAACTTAGCAACTGTCATGACTTCAGGATGACACCTGAGGGAATGAATTTGTCTTTATTTCCAAAACAACCATAAATACTATTTTTTGACAGTGCAAGATTTCCTACAGCATTATAATCTGTTTCAACCATGAGGAGGTGTGACTTCTCTAAAAAAAAAAAAGGAACAAATACACTGACTCCAAAATTAGAAGTCACTGAATGGCCAAAGATAATGGTCCTTTGGTGCACTGGGCCGGGTACGTGGACAGGGGTCACCCCCTAGTAGTAACTTTTACATATGGCAGCACTATAATAGATACGCAAATGCTAGTTCTGCAATTTGTATTTCCTGATTTTGACATACTGCAGAAGGAAAATGCAAAATTACAATTTTTACACGAGTCTGCTGTCCCAAAATAGGGTGACATAAGGTCTTTTGATGGGAAGCCTGGGGAATACAAAGACGTCTGACGGACTGTCCAGGTTCTTGCAATTAAAATGAGATGACAAACACAGAGGAAACATGTGCCCTGCTGACGTCATGGAACGGAAAGGGATGGCATCCTTCTGCGTCATGTCTACGGCATACAGCGCACGAGGGAAGTTACACTGCAGAAGCAATTTCTCCAAGGGGCAACGTTCTAAGAAAAACAAGTCAGCTCAGACCCAAAGAACGACCACCCCACTCTAGAGAACATCTAAAACGGGGCACTCTTCCCTCTCCTAAATTGTATGATCCCCTCATCAAACGACAAGGAGGAGGGTTGATTAATCCTCTGGGTTTAATCAGGGACCAGAGGACGGGCCAGATATGCAGAAAGAGAAGCCTCGGGGGCTCGTTCTTGAGGAGACCAGCGTGAGGGGGGGTGAGAAGGGCATCTTTGGAAAGGGGGGCCTTCTCTATAGGAAGAGGAGGGGACCCCTCTGGCCATATTTAAACCACGGTTTTTAGCGCCACCTGTGCGACTCGGGATCCAACCTCCCCGCACCAGCCCCAGTCCAGGTACCTGGAACTTAGTCCGATCGGTAACCGGCGACTACGCGGGGTACAGGTTACCCGAGCGCGCCCCCGACCGACGCACCCACCTGCGCGCGCGCCGCGGGCCGGATGCGTGCGCGCTCCCAGGACGTCCCGCCCCGCCCCCTTGGCGGCCCAGGAGCTGGGCGGCGTGCGCGCCCCCGCGCCGCGCCAACTAGAGGCGCTCGGAAAGGCGTCCCCGCAGTGCCTGACAGTTCCTCCCTCAGCGTCTACCTCGTGAGTGGCGAGGAACGCGGAGTCTGGCAATATCAGGAGGGTTCTTCCGTGTGAGGCTGTACAGGGAGGCTATTCCTGGAAGAACGGGGGGCACTTGATGGGCGGGTGATTTCGGGCATTCAGGTGGGCGACCCGCGTAGGCGTCTGAAAGGCCCGCGTCGTTAGGCACGGTAGTAGCGGCGTGTCTGGTTACGGGGTCGGGCAAAGGGCAAAGGTCAACATCCCAGTGGGCAGCACCACCTTTGAGCAATGGCGGCGTCTGGGGAACCCTGGAGGCAGTGGCAGGAGGAGGTGGCGGCGGTGGTAGTGGTGGGCTCCTGCATGACAGACCTGGTCAGGTTAGTCTGGGGCCAGTACACAGTCTGCGGCTCGGGGGAGGCAGAGGACTGTACTTTCTGCACTGCCTTGGCACTGGGTCTTTGGGGATGAACAGTGGTAGCTTTTGGTGTGAGCTACAGGTTTCCCCAGGCTACAGCCTGACTTCCTGGCGTAGAAGAATTTGGGTTTGCAAAGATAAATGTCAGGTGAGTGTCATAGGAGGCCACGGTTTGGTGAAAGCTCTAATAATACTAGAAGCGCCCGCAAAGACCTGTTCGTGTTTCCTTGGTCAGACTGCTGAGCCTTCCCCCTAGACTAGCCTGGTGACTTTGGCCAAGTAATTGTACCTCTGAGAATGTGTCTACCTCGCAGGATCGTTGTGAGGACTAAATGAGGTAAAGTGTTTTGTCAACCGTAACACTATCCAAATTGGATTTTATTCATTTAAGCTTGTATAAAATAATGAGTAGAGGTCAAAAAGACAATTAGTCACCTTTCACTATATGGATAGTTGGCATTCCTGCAGTATTCTATATTTACAGCTTATTTTTAAGTAATAAAAAACTTATGCCAGGCCGCGCGCGGTGGCTCACGCCTGTAATCCTAGCTCTCTGGGAGGCCGAGGCGGGCGGATTGTTTGAGCTCAGGAGTTCGAGACCAGCCTG